GGTTTCACTGGTACTTTCTTGGGAAAGTCACAGACTCTTTCTTGGTTGCTTTTAAATTCCTAGCACCTCATATTATGCCCAAGGCATGGGCAGTCCTCCATAAATGTTTCTGTTGAATAAGGAAGTTATTGAACCCATGAACCAGGTCAAAATGAAAAGGGGCTTTCTTGTTTGCATTTCTAATTGTGAGGATGAAGTTCATAATGAAGAAAGGTGGTGTGGGATGTAATGTTTTCATGAGCCACCACATTGCTATCTTTAAAACAGAGGCACAGAACTTCCTTGTGGATGATGTGCGTTGGCCTCAGCTTAGAAAAGAATCAGAAAATTCCAGACGATCTTATCCTTCAGCTGTGTATTAGCAATACTGGAGCTGGAGGAAAGGCAGGAAATGGGGAATAATAAAGGAAACATTTCTTCCAACTTTTTAAATTAAACAGTGGGTGAAAATATGAGTTAGTACTTGAACATAGAACTTTTCTTATTATGAACTCAAAACTTTTCAAATATGTATTAAATGATTAATCATTCAATTTTACCTTGAAACAACTTATCATATATTGCTACAGATGACTGCAATTATTCAAATTTTCTATCAACTCAGTACAAATATTAAAACTCCCACTTAAGCCTGTAATGAAAGTTTTTCAAAAAAAAAATTTTTTTTTCCCTGGAGCCAAGGAAGTTTCACTGTTAGACACTTTTAAGCCTTGACCAACTTTTTTTAAAACTTAAAAGTCTATTAAAGGCATGGGTATGCCATCTCAAGCAGTGACCCCACTAAAAATGTGTCTGGGGTGATCTTCTACTGTCTTCAGAGTCTGAACCTTGTGTCCCAAGATTGTTGGTAGGAGCCAGAGGCCAGTGACGTCCTGGTAGCCCTTCCCCAGCCTCTTGCGTGAGTTCTGGTCATCTCCAGGGGGGAGGTGTTCCACTCGGCTGATCAGGGAGAGAGGTGGAGTGGGCCCAGCAGTCCTGGTCTTTACCCCTGTTGGTGTTCCACCAGCACCTTTAGAACCCTAGACAGCCCAGCCGTCCATCTTTCATGCCCTCCCGGTTGCTGGACCAGAGTGCTGCTACCATCCATGTCCTCCGGGCTCTCCCTGGGCCTCTCTGCCCACAGCTCAGTGCCCCTGAGGTCCCTCACACCCAGTGTTCTGAAGTTCCAGCTGTCTGCTCCAACGTGACCCCCATTTCCACCCCCATTGTTCAGCTGGGGTCCCGTGTCTTCCCAGAGCCCAGGGTCGCCTGAGTTATAAAGTAGCAAGCCCACCTCCTGTCCTTGGTGGAGGTGGCTGATGTCCCCCCAGAGGCTGGATGTGCTTC